TATTTTTTATTTTTTATTTGTGAGTGGACATGAGTATTTAGAACAAGAAGTTGGACCAAGAAAAGACTATAAATTGTTGTTATGAGAAGTCAACTTTGTGGAAGAGAAAGAAAAGTCCCGGTGATCATTACGCCATGGAAGTCCTAAAGTCAAAACAAAATGTGGCATATTGAAATTTGGAGGAGGTTCTGGTTTCCTAAAAGGAGTCAAAATTTTTAACGCATTCCTTTATTCTATCATAATAATATTAATATACTCTACCTTTCATTGGTACATTAAAACGGGTCATTTGGTGTAATTCCTCAATCAAAAATATTATGACTAATAACTGATTGAAATTCAACTCCCACAATAAAATCTCTATCAAAACCCCTCTTTCCCATTTCACAATTATATTCATCTCTCTCTCTCTCTCTCTCTCTCTCTCTCTCTCTCTCTCTCTCTCTCTCTCTCTCTCTCTCTCTCTCTCTCTCTCTCTCTCTCTCTCTCTCTCTCTCTCTCTCTCTCTCTCTCTCTCTCTCTCTCTCTCTCTCTCTCTCTCTCTCTCTCTCTCTCTCTCTCTCTCTCTCTCTCTCTCTCTCTCTCTCTCTCTCTCTCTCTCTCTCTCTCTCTCTCTCTCTCTCTCTCTCTCTCTCTCTCTCTCTCTCTCTCTCTCTCTCTCTCTCTCTCTCTCTCTCTCTCTCTCTCTCTCTCTCTCTCTCTCTCTCTCTCTCTCTCTCTCTCTCTCTCTCTCTCTCTCTCTCTCTCTCTCTCTCTCTCTCTCTCTCTCTCTCTCTCTCTCTCTCTCTCTCTCTCTCTCTCTCTCTCTCTCTCTCTCTCTCTCTCTCTCTCTCTCTCTCTCTCTCTCTCTCTCTCTCTCTCTCTCTCTCTCTCTCTCTCTCTCTCTCTCTCTCTCTCTCTCTCTCAATTCTGAAACATGGGTGGTGATGAGGAAGCATGCAACACAAAGCTAGCTCTTGGACTTGGTATGGGTGAATATGCTTCAAGGCAAGAGATGAGAAAGAAGGAAAATCCTTTGGTTTGCTTAGACCTCTCATTTGCGCTTTGCCCAAAACAGGAGGTTGCTAGCTTGGGTGATCACATGGAGAATCGATCGAGTTTGAGGGTAATGGATGAAGATGAAGAAAGTGAGAGAAGTATTGGTACAAATAACAAGAGTATTATCATGAACAACAAAAATGGTGTGAGAAAGAAACTGAGGCTCACAAAAGAGCAATCCACCTTGCTGGAAGAAAGCTTCAGCCGCCACAGCACCCTTAATCCGGTACACATCTTTCATTTCAGCTGAGATTTAGGCATGCTCTTGATTTAGCTTAACCTCTAATTAACTAGAGATTGTCAAGAACTGCTACATATATATTTTAGTTCCTTATTTATTTGTTTAAAATTTTAGTTTTTAATTAATATTGGGACTAAATTATGTAGGCCCGGAAACTGTCACTTGCTGAGCAATTGAATCTGAAGCCAAGACAAGTCGAAGTTTGGTTTCAGAACAGAAGAGCAAGGTGACTCGTCTGAGCAAAACGCTCTCTTGTCAAACAGTGTCAAACAGTCTGACATGTTATATATATTGTCTATAGACACGACAAATTAAACCAACGAATATCCATATATTGCAGGACAAAGTTGAAACAAACAGAAGTAGACTGCGACTTCTGGAAGAAATGCTGCGAAAGTCTTGGCGATGAGAATCGTAGGTTGAAGAAAGAATTGCAGGAGCTAAAATCGTTAAACAAGAATGAGGCATCGCCATTGTACATTCAAATCCCAAAGGCTGCAATGCTTTCAATGTGTCCATCTTGTGAGAGGATGGTAGAAGCTCATCACCATAACCAAGCAGCTGCAAAGAACACAGAAGATCTCAATGTGGTCCGGAAGAGTAATAAATTGCAGGGCGGCTTTGACGGTACAAATTAACTAGAGAGATTTGGAGGCTATAGCTGCATAGCCATAACCATAACTTTATATACAAGTGCAAGAAATTAAGCAACAAAAGCATTGATCATTTTGATCAATCAACAACTACCCACATGACTAAATTGAATACATGTGTTTCCAAAGAGGGGGGGTCCAAGTGTTCTGCTAATTAGAAAATAGGGTAGCTAGAAAAAGAATTAATGTTATATTATAATTTCCTTTACAAGGATGTATTTGATTTGCATGCACCTTCTTTTTTTTTCTTTACCATATCAACTCCCTCACAAGCACAATTGTAAGGTATAGGATCTTGGTATTGATATTCTTTTGGCATGTTTTTTTCTGTTCTCTAATCATTCTAGGAAATGAGGATATGTCTCTTTCAATCAATCTTCTTTTTTGTTATCTATGGTATTTAATTTTTCAATTCACATTGTTAATTATGATTTTTATATGATCTCCATTTATGACCAAACTATGCATTCACATATTATATTATATTATATATATATATATTCCTCAAGAACTCAGTGATACATAAAATCTGCACATATCGAACTACGATTTTCTGGTAAAGTAAGGAGGAATGCCTTTTTTTTAGTGATGATTTTCCCATTCTCATTTTGTCCACTTACACTCTCTTTTGTCCACTTACACTCCCTTTTGTTTTTCAATACTTTGTATTATAGCAAAGAATGGTGTGTAAGTGGACAAAAGAGGAGTGCGAAATCAACTACTTTTTTTTTTCTCATAATACAAGCGATATTAGGAGAGGGCGGGTTTTCTCACACACACTATCAAGGTGTCATGGGGTTTGAATTTGAGACCACTGGTCTGCAAGTCAAGATCCTTTTTCCACTGAATTAGACTCCGTTAGTGGAGGAATGACTTCTTTCAAGTAAGGGTAAGGAATCAAATATTTTCCGTTGAATATTAACCAAGATGATGAGTCAAGAGTTGTCTGGAGTTACTGGTGCAGTCGTTAATTTTTTTATGGAACTTTACCAAATTTGATTACTTTGTGCTCATGAGGAAAATAATTCACAAACTATCAAGGACCCATAACGTCCATTGCATTCTATTTATCCTGTACTTTATAATGATAAAGTGGAAAAAAAATAAATTTTGGAAAAGTAACGGTGGGTTAATTTATTACTCAAGACTTCCTAGACAAACAGTAGAAACTTTAATTAGATTCTTTTTTTTATATTATCTGAAAACATTAATTCAATTCTTAATAAGTTTAAATGATGAAAAGAATATTGTGATCAAGAAATTAAACTCTCAAATGCAATGATGGATTGTCCTATACTATACTAACCTAGTATAGATGATGCATCTTAAAAAAAATCAATAAATTGTAGCACTTTCTTCGATTTCCCCTTTTCTAGTATCGCTTTTATTTATTTTTTAAAATGTCAATAAACTGAATAACTATCATAGACACCACGTATTTGACAATGAAAGTGCACCTCAAACAGCAAACAAAAACAAATGGCACACATCATGATAAATAAAAAATTCACAAGATAATAATTACTTTTGCATTCTCACTTATGACTTGAAGTCTTCAATGTAACAGTTGTATTACAGTAACCCCACCTCTTTTGGATGTACAAATTAAGTACAGCGAAAGCATTTATATTTCCCAACCATAATTTGAGAAAATTACTCAAGTCAAAACAGACTAAAAACAGCAACAAAGAAGAAGTCAAGAATTTTATTTTCTATTTTTTACAACAAAGATCATCCTACTCTCTAAAGTTACTTTAACCTAGGGATGGAATTTTAAGCCGCCAAACCTAGCAAAAACGTTAAATTTATTAGAAGTTGGAGTCAAGAGTTATCAATAGGATATAATTTTATTTAACCTAGGGATGGAAAACACACGAAGAATTAACACGTCCAAGTTAACTAAAAATTTATGATTCAAGATAAATAAATTATATAAATAAACACTTCAATATTAAAAAAATTTAAAATTTATGGCAAAGGCTATTACATCACTACTACAAAAAGGGCAAAAGACGACCAGAAAAAGACGACGGTAGAACAAAAAACCGTCGTTGTTTTTAAAAAGACGACTTGCACTTTTTAGTGTTTCTAAACGTCTGAATCTCTCAATGTGTTCGGTGGGGGAACCGAAATTCTGCAAATTATTGGATAAGCGTTATTTAATTTTTATTTTTTATTTGTGAGTGGACATGAGTATTTAGAACAAGAAGTTGGACCAAGAAAAGACTATAAATTGTTGTTATGAGAAGTCAACTTTGTGGAAGAGAAAGAAAAGTCCCGGTGATCATTACGCCATGGAAGTCCTAAAGTCAAAACAAAATGTGGCATATTGAAATTTGGAGGAGGTTCTGGTTTCCTAAAAGGAGTCAAAATTTTTAACGCATTCCTTTATTCTATCATAATAATATTAATATACTCTACCTTTCATTGGTACATTAAAACGGGTCATTTGGTGTAATTCCTCAATCAAAAATATTATGACTAATAACTGATTGAAATTCAACTCCCACAATAAAATCTCTATCAAAAACCCTCTTTCCCATTTCACAATTATATTCATCTCTCTCTCTCTCTCTCTCTCTCTCTCTCTCTCTCTCAATTCTGAAACATGGGTGGTGATGAGTCTCTCTCTCTCTCTCTCTCTCTCTCTCTCTCTCTCTCTCTCTCTCTCTCTCTCTCTCTCTCTCTCTCTCTCTCTCTCTCTCTCTCTCTCTCTCTCTCTCTCTCTCTCTCTCTCTCTCTCTCTCTCTCTCTCTCTCTCTCTCTCTCTCTCTCTCTCTCTCTCTCTCTCTCTCTCTCTCTCTCTCTCTCTCTCTCTCTCTCTCTCTCTCTCTCTCTCTCTCTCTCTCTCTCTCTCTCTCTCTCTCTCTCTCTCTCTCTCTCTCTCTCTCTCTCTCTCTCTCTCTCTCTCTCTCTCTCTCTCTCTCTCTCTCTCTCTCTCTCTCTCTCTCTCTCTCTCTCTCTCTCTCTCTCTCTCTCTCTCTCTCTCTCTCTCTCTCTCTCTCTCTCTCTCTCTCTCTCTCTCTCTCTCTCTCTCTCTCTCTCTCTCTCTCTCTCTCTCTCTCAATTCTGAAACATGGGTGGTGATGAGGAAGCATGCAACACAAAGCTAGCTCTTGGACTTGGTATGGGTGAATATGCTTCAAGGCAAGAGATGAGGAAGAAGGAAAATCCTTTGGTTTGCTTAGACCTCTCATTTGCGCTTTGCCCAAAACAGGAGGTTGCTAGCTTGGGTGATCACATGGAGAATCGATCGAGTTTGAGGGTAATGGATGAAGATGAAGAAAGTGAGAGAAGTATTGGTACAAATAACAAGAGTATGTTCATGAACAACAAAAATGGTGTGAGAAAGAAACTGAGGCTCACAAAAGAGCAATCCACCTTGCTGGAAGAAAGCTTCAGCCGCCACAGCACCCTTAATCCGGTACACATCTTTCATTTCAGCTGAGATTTAGGCATGCTCTTGATTTAGCTTAACCTCTAATTAACTAGAGATTGTCAAGAACTGCTACATATATATTTTAGTTCCTTATTTATTTGTTTAAAATTTTAGTTTTTAATTAATATTGGGACTAAATTATGTAGGCCCGGAAACTGTCACTTGCTGAGCAATTGAATCTGAAGCCAAGACAAGTCGAAGTTTGGTTTCAGAACAGAAGAGCAAGGTGACTCGTCTGAGCAAAACGCTCTCTTGTCAAACAGTGTCAAACAGTCTGACATGTTATATATATTGTCTATAGACACGAGAAATTAAACCAACGAATATCCATATATTGCAGGACGAAGTTGAAACAAACAGAAGTAGACTGCGACTTCTGGAAGAAATGCTGCGAAAGTCTTGGCGATGAGAATCGTAGGTTGAAGAAAGAATTGCAGGAGCTAAAATCGTTAAACAAGAATGAGGCATCGCCATTGTACATTCAAATCCCAAAGGCTGCAATGCTTTCAATGTGTCCATCTTGTGAGAGGATGGTAGAAGCTCATCACCATAACCAAGCAGCTGCAAAGAACACAGAAGATCTCAATGTGGTCCGGAAGAGTAATAAATTGCAGGGCGGCTTTGACGGTACAAATTAACTAGAGAGATTTGGAGGCTATAGCTGCATAGCCATAACCATAACTTTATATACAAGTGCAAGAAATTAAGCAACAAAAGCATTGATCATTTTGATCAATCAACAACTACCCACATGACTAAATTGAATACATGTGTTTCCAAAGAGGGGGGGTCCAAGTGTTCTGCTAATTAGAAAATAGGGTAGCTAGAAAAAGAATTAATGTTATATTATAATTTCCTTTACAAGGATGTATTTGATTTGCATGCACCTTCTTTTTTTTTCTTTACCATATCAACTCCCTCACAAGCACAATTGTAAGGTATAGGATCTTGGTATTGATATTCTTTTGGCATGTTTTTTTCTGTTCTCTAATCATTCTAGGAAATGAGGATATGTCTCTTTCAATCAATCTTCTTTTTTGTTATCTATGGTATTTAATTTTTCAATTCACATTGTTAATTATGATTTTTATATGATCTCCATTTATGACCAAACTATGCATTCACATATTATATTATATTATATATATATATATTCCTCAAGAACTCAGTGATACATAAAATCTGCACATATCGAACTACGATTTTCTGGTAAAGTAAGGAGGAATGCCTTTTTTTTAGTGATGATTTTCCCATTCTCATTTTGTCCACTTACACTCTCTTTTGTCCACTTACACTCCCTTTTGTTTTTCAATACTTTGTATTATAGCAAAGAATGGTGTGTAAGTGGACAAAAGAGGAGTGCGAAATCAACTACTTTTTTTTTTCTCATAATACAAGCGATATTAGGAGAGGGCGGGTTTTCTCACACACACTATCAAGGTGTCATGGGGTTTGAATTTGAGACCACTGGTCTGCAAGTCAAGATCCTTTTTCCACTGAATTAGACTCCGTTAGTGGAGGAATGACTTCTTTCAAGTAAGGGTAAGGAATCAAATATTTTCCGTTGAATATTAACCAAGATGATGAGTCAAGAGTTGTCTGGAGTTACTGGTGCAGTCGTTAATTTTTTTATGGAACTTTACCAAATTTGATTACTTTGTGCTCATGAGGAAAATAATTCACAAACTATCAAGGACCCATAACGTCCATTGCATTCTATTTATCCTGTACTTTATAATGATAAAGTGGAAAAAAAATAAATTTTGGAAAAGTAACGGTGGGTTAATTTATTACTCAAGACTTCCTAGACAAACAGTAGAAACTTTAATTAGATTCTTTTTTTTATATTATCTGAAAACATTAATTCAATTCTTAATAAGTTTAAATGATGAAAAGAATATTGTGATCAAGAAATTAAACTCTCAAATGCAATGATGGATTGTCCTATACTATACTAACCTAGTATAGATGATGCATCTTAAAAAAAATCAATAAATTGTAGCACTTTCTTCGATTTCCCCTTTTCTAGTATCGCTTTTATTTATTTTTTAAAATGTCAATAAACTGAATAACTATCATAGACACCACGTATTTGACAATGAAAGTGCACCTCAAACAGCAAACAAAAACAAATGGCACACATCATGATAAATAAAAAATTCACAAGATAATAATTACTTTTGCATTCTCACTTATGACTTGAAGTCTTCAATGTAACAGTTGTATTACAGTAACCCCACCTCTTTTGGATGTACAAATTAAGTACAGCGAAAGCATTTATATTTCCCAACCATAATTTGAGAAATTTACTCAAAGTCAAAACAGACTAAAAACAGCAACAAAGAAGAAGTTAAGAATTTTATTTTCTATTTTTTACAACAAAGATCATCCTACTCTCTAAAGTTACTTTAACCTAGGGATGAAATTTTAAGCCACCAAACCTAGCAAAAACGTTAAATTTAGAGTGCTGCTATTTCCACCCCCTTGTTCTATTTCTCCACCCACCTTATCTTCCCACCCACCATGTAAATTTGAAAAAACACAATCCTATCTTTCCACCCATCATTATTCCTAAAATACCATTTAATTATTAATTCAAGTAAAACCTAGAAATCAAACAAAAAATTAAAACAAAAAACCCAAACAAACCCAACGACCTCTTCCTATTCTTCTTCCAATTCCTTTCTTCAATCACAATTCCAGAAAAATTCCTGAAAAACAACATGTGACATTGTACAGGCCGGCTTGTAACTAGACATATACCATCTCTACCTATAAATATTGTTGTGCAGTGTTGTCGAATCTCATTACCTAGACACTAAACAGAGTTCTTACTAAAAACATAGAAAAATTACATATATATATATATATGATGGTTTCCATGGCTGAGAGTAGACTACTTAGCAGTAAGAATTATTCCTAACTCAATTTTTTATTTCCTTTAAAATTATTTATTTTTAGTTTCACAAAAATATTAAAAAAGATTCGTAGTTCATTTGTAATAAATGGGTTAATGTTGCAGTTGAATTTGGAAAGAAAGAAACTAGCCCAGTATGCGATTCAGTTTATGGTGCAGAGGAGGGTGATACGTGTCATTGAAAAGTTCAATTTTAGTTTTGATTTCTTCCTTTCTATCGACCCTAATATCAATTGCCACAACTTCTTTGTGGGTCAATGGCTTTGTACTGTAGGGACTGCAAATTGAGCTTCAAGTTTGGTCCCGTGGGTGGTGTTTGACAGGGATGAGGGGGGAATAGGTGGGTTACGAGAAATAAGACAGGGTGTCATAAGTCATTTTACAAAGAGGTAATTTTGTTTTTAAAATTTTGAAGATAAGGTGGGTGGGAAAATAGGACAAGGGGGTGGAAATAGCAGCACTCTAAATTTATTAGAAGTTGGAGTCAAGAGTTATCAATAGGATATAATTTTATTTAACCTAGGGATGAAAACACACGAAGAATTAACACGTCCAAGTTAACTAAAAATTTATCATTCAAGACAAATAAATTATATAAATAAACACTTCAATATTAAAAAAATTTAAAATTTATGGCGAAGGCTATTACATTCAATTCTAAAGAAGAAGAAAAATCAAAGAGACAAAATTGAGTTTATAGCGAGGGACAATGTGACGATATACTGAGCGACAAATTAAAAAGCGAGTTTATGAAAAAAGTGGGTTAAATTGATTTTGAAGAGCAAGATGGAATTCGGAACTATCTTTTAAGGGGTGAAACAGTAATTAAAGTCTATATGAATTGTACTACTACTAGGGCATTAAATTCAATGTTGGATTGTTGTCCTTGAAAAAAAAAACTGCAACTTAAATAGAAGTCTATGTGAATTGTAGCTAGGCTTTATATTGAATTAGTAGGTATAAAAACTCATAGGGGCTGCCTTATAAAAACATGTACCGCATGTCTAATGAACAGAAAAATCATTAATTTGTGCAGTAAGAAGGTGAAATAATTGACGAAAAAGAAAGTTATAGAGCTCATCATTTTCTTCAAAATTATTTGACTGTAGACATAGCCAAAATAGTTGGCAAGCCTCCTAATTACCAGATTAAATGAATAAAGAGCCTCCTAATCCCCATGATCTGGGTTTTATGCTAATTAAACTACATAACATATGTAGGGGTGGTTACCAAACCCAACTCTATATATTCAAGGCTCTTTTTTTTTTCTTTTTTTCTGTTAAGTATTTGCAATTCATCCAATTAATTTCAAAAATAAAATTCAATACTCTTTTATTCATCAACTAGACAATTTAATTACATTGACAATTAAAGCACCAAAAAATCTTAATTCTGAATTACCTAATCAAACATGCGACATCAGTTTTTGGATGCTCTCAGCTTCTTTGCTTTTCTCAACCTAGCCTGCTTCTCTTCTTGCTGAATCAATAGCCGCTCTTTTTCATCCTCCTTCCTGCCAATTTGTTCACTTTTTCTCTCCTCTCTTAGAATGTCATCAAAGGTGGACACCATCGCACTATCATCATCCTCTTCCTCATCCTCCTCCACCCTAAAGCGCTTACGATGTCTCTCCTTCTCCATCATCACACAAGAAGGCTTCTTTGGCCTCTCTTTCTCTTCCGGATTTTGCTTTCTTACAGTCTTCAAATCTCTCTCAGAACTTCTTCTTATCCCGCCGAAACCTGGATTTCTTTCTTCACTTGGCTTTGGTGCAGAATCTTTACCAAGTCCAGATTCTCCTTTGGAAGATTCCGGAATTTCGGCATCGTCTGAGAACAAAAAGGTGTAATCCCGGGACTCTTTTATGCTTTTACACTTGAGTTTCAAATCGACAGGAATCTTGAGGCTCTTTTTACCCTGGTCTTGGGAATTTCGAAAAACCCTAGATGCCAAAACCTTTAACTCCGGCATTAAAGCTTTGCTTTCTTGAATCACTCTCTGCGCAATGGCATGTTGCGAGGGGCCAAAGAAGGATCCGAAGTTGTCACAAGGCAACTTGTTCTTCTCATGAATCGAGCAGTCACGAACAGACACCACCACCTCCTTGGCATGATTGTTTCTGATGCGTTGTTTGAGTTGCTGCCTTAGTTGAAGAAAGTCCAATTCCTTCTCCGTAGAAGAACGGAAGATCAATCGTGCCCCCATCTCTACAATATTCAAACCCTAACTTGTTTCAAAATCACTGTTTTGATTTTCTCACAGTGATGATGATGAAAGGAAGAGAGTGTGTTTACTGTGATTTGCGAAGGGGCCAATTCTCTATTTATACATGAGCTTTGTCGGTTAGTGTTTCCAAATCCGAGCAGGACTAGGAGATTTCCAAGCCAGCTCGGGTTTCCATTTTTTCAAGTTTTTGTAATCTATTTTTTGGTTTTCCTTATAGGGGCAAAATGGAGAATTTTAGAACAAAAGTAAAGTAACCCACCTCTTTTCCGTGCCATGTGCAAATTAAGTAGCAAAAACATTTATATCTTTACTTCATAATAGACGACCATTTTCATATAAAATGGTCGTCTTTACTTCATAATAGACGACGGTTTTGAGTAAAAGCATCGTCTATTTACATATAATAGACGACGGGGATTTACCGTCGTGGTTTTATGCATCAAAAGATGTCGCTCGATTTCACGACGGTTGAAAAACCGAATACACGACGGTGGATTACCGTCGTCTATTTCGATTTTTGTAGTAGTGCATTCAATTCTAAAGAAGAAAAAAAAAATCAAAGAGGTCTTACAAAATTGAGTTTATAGCGAGGGACAATGTGACGATATACTGAGCGACAACGTGAGACGCAAAAAAGCGAGTTTATGAAAAAAGTGGGTTAAATTGATTTTGAAGAGCAAGATGGAATTCGGAACTATCTTTTAAGGGGTGAAACAGTAATTAAAGTCTATATGAATTGTACTACTACTAGGGCATTAAATTCAATGTTGGATTGTTGTCCTTGAAAAAAAAAACTGCAACTTAAATAGAAGTCTATGTGAATTGTAGCTAGGCTTTATATTGAATTAGTAGGTATAAAAACTCATAGGGGCTGCCTTAGAAAAACATGTACCGCATGTCTAATGAACAGAAAAATCATTAATTTGTGCAGTAAGAAGGTGAAATAATTGACGAAAAAGAAAGTTATAGAGCTCATCATTTTCTTCAAAATTATTTGACTGTAGACATAGCCAAAATAGTTGGCAAGCCTCCTAATTACCAGATTAAATGAATAAAGAGCCTCCTAATCACCATGATCTGGGTTTTATGCTAATTAAACTACATATGTAGGGGTGGTTACCAAACCCAACTCTATATATTCAAGGCTCTTTTTTTTTTCTTTTTTTCTGTTAAGTATTTGCAATTCATCCAATTAATTTCAAAAATAAAATTCAATACTCTTTTATTCATCAACTAGACAATTTAATTACATTGACAATTAAAGCACCAAAAAATCTTAATTCTGAATTACCTAATCAAACATGCGACATCAGTTTTTGGATGCTCTCAGCTTCTTTGCTTTTCTCAACCTAGCCTGCTTCTCTTCTTGCTGAATCAATAGCCGCTCTTTTTCATCCTCCTTCCTGCCAATTTGTTCACTTTTTCTCTCCTCTCTTAGAATGTCATCAAAGGTGGACACCATCGCACTATCATCATCCTCTTCCTCATCCTCCTCCACCCTAAAGCGCTTACGATGTCTCTCCTTCTCCATCATCACACAAGAAGGCTTCTTTGGCCTCTCTTTCTCTTCCGGATTTTGCTTTCTTACAGTCTTCAAATCTCTCTCAGAACTTCTTCTTATCCCGCCGAAACCTGGATTTCTTTCTTCACTTGGCTTTGGTGCAGAATCTTTACCAAGTCCAGATTCTCCTTTGGAAGATTCCGGAATTTCGGCATCGTCTGAGAACAAAAAGGTGTAATCCCGGGACTCTTTTATGCTTTTACACTTGAGTTTCAAATCGACAGGAATCTTGAGGCTCTTTTTACCCTGGTCTTGGGAATTTCGAAAAACCCTAGATGCCAAAACCTTTAACTCCGGCATTAAAGCTTTGCTTTCTTGAATCACTCTCTGCGCAATGGCATGTTGCGAGGGGCCAAAGAAGGATCCGAAGTTGTCACAAGGCAACTTGTTCTTCTCATGAATCGAGCAGTCACGAACAGACACCACCACCTCCTTGGCATGATTGTTTCTGATGCGTTGTTTGAGTTGCTGCCTTAGTTGAAGAAAGTCCAATTCCTTCTCCGTAGAAGAACGGAAGATCAATCGTGCCCCCATCTCTACAATATTCAAACCCTAACTTGTTTCAAAATCACTGTTTTGATTTTCTCACAGTGATGATGATGAAAGGAAGAGAGTGTGTTTACTGTGATTTGCGAAGGGGCCAATTCTCTATTTATACATGAGCTTTGTCGGTTAGTGTTTCCAAATCCGAGCAGGACTAGGAGATTTCCAAGCCAGCTCGGGTTTCCATTTTTTCAAGTTTTTGTAATCTATTTTTTGGTTTTCCTTATAGGGGCAAAATGGAGAATTTTAGAACAAAAGTAAAGTAACCCACCTCTTTTCCGTGCCATGTGCAAATTAAGTAGCAAAAACATTTATATTAGAGCATTTCCAACTGATGTGTCAAAAGTGCCACATAAATATTTAATAGCTAGAAATAACATCTCACATCACTCCATCTGATGTGTCAAAGCTGATGTGGAATGAAGGTTGGAGGTTGAGATGTTATTTTTGACATCCTAAGAGCATCTCCAAGGGAGATGTCAAATACCAAACATCAAATTTAAATTTGATGGCTAATGTGGCAATTTGACATCTTACACAGCTTTAGACTCCACCCGATATGTCAAATTAAATTATTAGTTTATTACATTTTAGTGTTGATTTATTTTTAATTAAAAAGAATAGAAAAGAAAAAATAATAAAATATTCATTTGACATCTTGCTTTTGG